ATCATCCACAGTTTTCCCTTGTATATTTGATTGACAACAGATTACGGTTCATATCACAGTCAACAAAGATCCAAATAATCTGAACATTTGGAAGGATTCTAAGAGATCTGTTATGTTCAGTCAAAATTTCAGTTTTAATTAAAAAGGAAAGTATCTCAAATAACCTCTGTGATCTCTTACAGATTTTCTTAATGTTAATTAACCTACTAAAATATGTTGGGTTACATCTAATTAGCATATCAAACAAAAAATTGGTGTTATTTTCAGAAGATATTTAGTCTTCTGAAGGCAATGCAGATTTCCCTGTATGCCCAGGCTTGTCTTGGTGACAGTGCTAGAGAGGCAGACAGGGACACATGCTGGCAATTACCTTGTGTATAGGGACTCTCCAAATAGCAAGGGCCTTTAATGGATGTTGAGATGGTGTAAGCAACTTGACTAATTGGTATTTCAGATGGGAAAAGATACAGCCACATTTTTCATGCAACTCCACCTTCAGTGGGGAGCTGCTGTGATTCAGAGCCAGGAAGAGTAACATTCTGAGCTCCACTGGACCTTGGTCCAGCAACTCCTGTGTGTCACAGAGCCAGGGCACTGGTTAGATACTAATCAGTAGGAGTAATCAGCTAACCAGTAGCAGCAAGTGGAATGAGAGGAAGCATCCTCAAGAACCTGCTCAATTCACTTCCCTTCAGGGTTTTAGCACAAGTAGAGTTCCAGGGAATCCCTGCGGCACTCTTGCTTTCTCCTTCCCAAAGCCTTGTCTTGCCTACCATTAGAGTAAAGAAACACAGAGCAAAATCCATGTTAAGGCTGGGACAGAAGACTATTTAATGAGATCCCAACGTACTCCATGGTGAATGTGTCCACTGGAGCAGTGTACATGTGACCTATTGTAATTATTTAGTCTTGTCAAGTAGGATGGATGAACTTGCTGTATTCCCACTGCACAATACAACACAGTCCATAGATATGCAACAGATACTGCAGGATACTGTAAAATATACTTCATTTTTAAGTCAGAGCATCAGTGTGTAATTAGTGCCTTCAAGGGGCTCTTACACAGGCCTCTTAATTCCAGGTCAGCTTTTCCTTCTCAGCAGTTCTTCCAAAAATTTTACATTTTATGATATGTTGGCATAAGCCAAAGATATGCAGAGTATTTATGGTAGCATTTTTTTCAGTCTCCCTTTAGCATTTTCTGACTGAAATATCCAGAATTTCAGCATAGATATTCTTGTAGCTATTAATAATAACTTAGTCCTTAAGCTAGTAAAGTGACAAAGGACATTTTTATCTTCTGTAAAAGTACTAGTTTTCTATAGCTCTAACTCAGCGACAGACTGAAAACTAAGTTTGGCATTTCACCTTCCATTTTTTGCCATGTATGTATATATAAAGTTCTGATTTATCAAACTCTACAGATCACCTCTGCAGCTCTATAAAAACCTTTTCTGGTTGTAATTCTCTAGAGATTATCTTAAGGATACATCTAATCCTTCACCTACTCAAGGCCAGGTTACTGTCTCTAATCCATAACAGCTATTTGTCTAAGCTGATCCTAAAGCCTGCAGAGGAAAAAAAATAAATAAATGAGGTGTTTTAACCTTCAAAACCCTACAAAATCAGAGGTTGAAACCGCAGCCATACAACCCCTGCTTTAACTGACCACAGCTAGACCCAGTCCCAGTTCTGTACCAGCAAATGCCATTGGCAACCTCCTGTGGGACTGGGATGATCCATGGGAAGGAAAGACCTCGAGCTAAACCACCCAGCTGGCAATGATTCGGCAACTCCCCTGGGGCAGAAAACTTCTCAGCTCATTGCAAGGCTGAGCTTTAGAAGTGGCTGAAAACGTAACTGAAATAAAGACTTGGCTCTCCAAAGAAACCCAAAGAACTGTGTTAACGAAAGATTATTTGCCGAGAGCAGCTTCAGATCAGTCCTCTACCAGAACTACCCAAGCTTAAGCCTAGTTCTGGCATTGGTATATTTTATCTGAGCCTTATCAAGCCTCCAAATACCTGCTGGGCATCTTCTACCCCATTCAGCAAGACTGGATGGTGGTGAAATTACCTGGTGAACCTCAGAAAGCTGAAAAGCCTCAGCCTATGCTTTATAGGAGGGTTTAATATATACTTTGATCCCTTGCTCATTCAGCCTCTCTAAAGCACTCTTCAATGAGTCAAGAAACAGCAAAGAATCCAAAATGACCCCAAGCAGATGTCTTATCATTAATATACGCTGTGAGTCTCAGGGAACCACACACCCCTTCTCCTCTGAAGGACATTGAAATACATAACGTGAAACAACCATACATAATAAAACATCTTGTATTTCACATTGCCATAACTCCTCCTGAATTTATGCATTATATTCACCAGCAAAAATGCATATGTGCCTGAAATAAAAGATGAGGCAGGAATGTCACCGTATTTACTATTTCCTTGAAATTTCACATACATTGCTGTTTCACACTGCAGATATGGTCATTTTTTTACTTGTCCAGGGAAAGGTGAAGGCCTGAACATATCTCTTTAAGATGGTAATATAATGAATTAACATAAGAACATTAAACTTAGAGAAAGAAATTCCAGTTACTGAATGCTTAAACACCATTAGTTCTTAAGCATTATGACAAGCTTTCAGCCGTATGGAGTTGTGACCTGTACACCAAAATGGTCTTTGCCATGGTCACACACCCTGCACTTCATACCATAAATTATTTTCCTGGTGCAGAGACTTATTTACCACTGTGACTTATTTACCACCTGCACCGTCAGTGTCCCTAGCAACAGATTATTTTAACACAGCCAGCAGTGACCAACTAAGTTATTTGCAAATAAATATTGAAACCTGCTATTACCTTCTTGATCAATCAAAAATTTTGTATGAACATTGTTAATTAGAGAGTGACACACTTAGAATGGCATTTTGCTTACTAATATGAAGAAAAGGCTAACTACTTGGTTAGGTTTCTGAAGCAACTTTGCAGCTTTTGACTCAACAGTTGCCCAGGCATTGTTCTGATAGATAAATATATACAGAGAGAATTATTACAACAATACTGCATTCAGACCAAATATCTAACACAAAGGAGTGTATCATAAAGACACATTAGTGGCAGTTGTGAGTATCAAACTACATAATCATAATGTAAAGTTAGCTCCTATATTCTTGGACTTTGCTGATAGAAATGTGTCAATAATTTCAAGAACTGCTTCTACTAAGCAAGTCAAAATACATAATTGATACAAAAATAAACAGTAATGAGTTGTGAACAAATTCCTAGATGAGATACTGGGAGACACCTTTGAATTCTTTAGAAAATGTGATATAAATAACATCATTACCTGTGTGTTCTACCTGACTTAGATGAAATGTTTGTTTAGTATGTTTTCCTAAATTCTATGGTAATTTTTCAGAGAGACATTCATTTCAGCATTGGGAAGTTTTCATATTCATACATGACCATAAACAAAGGAGTGGGAATTAACATGAACTTCACAGGGTCTATCTGAGCATAAATTGGGCATGAATAAAGATTAATATTTTATGTGCTACCATGTTGAAAGTACAGGCTACTTATACAAAATGTACATATATATTTAACTTACACTAACATAGGAATTTTCCTGATTCCATTAATCTCCTAATTTAAAGAGCTGAAATACAATAAGAATATAAGAGAGTTATAATAAAATAATTATTCAGCACTGAACGTCTTTCATCCTTGGCCACTTAATCCAGAGTAATTTATTCAAGCATATTAATTATTGAGGAACAGACATTTAAAGAGTTCTTAACAGATCAATACTTTTCTCTGAAAAACACTCATCTGCATCTTCAGAAAGCTTCAATATGGGCAAAACCCTGCTTTGGTCAGTTTAACTTTTGGGGTTTTCTGGATGCAGAGAACAGTGCTAATATCTATATGCTGACACAAATTTTGATTTTGTAAAATGCTCATTGAACAAGGACTATACAAAAGTAGAGCCTTCAAGAAAATAAATTATCCCTATCACTGTGAATAAAAATTGTCATATATTTTATGACAGCCTGTACCCTCACCTGGTTATATAAAAATAGCTGTCTGTAGTTTTGTGAAGTCAGCAGTACTACATTGATTAATTCCAGCTGGCTTTTCTTATAATTATTTTTTTTAATTTTTATTTTAACTTATTTTTGGTGCAGGCTTAGATTTCACTATGACAGTTCTGGAGATCTGTCCACATGAACTTTAAAAATTTTAATTTAACTTTCTGAACTATATCACTAATTGTACCTTTTACCTTATATTGTCACACTGGATTACAGTAGAAGTCCCAGGAGCTGTCCCTGAGTGGCTGGTTTTCAGCATGAGATCTGCTGAAGCTCACCAGAAATCATTTGCCTACTCATTGTGCATAACTGACATGTTAATGACTCATGGTATCCAAGATTTGGGCTTAATATAGCAGCCTTGTAACTTATCTCCAAGTAAGTCCTCTGAGAAGCAGAGCTATTAAAAAAAGTTGACCTCCACCAATTTCTCCTGAAGATTTCTCATTGCCAGGATTTGGTAACTACACTCTAACAGTAGATTATTGCAATGAAATCCCCCCAGAAGCAAATCCTTAAAGCAATGTAACTCTCATAGCAAATCTGATGTGTTTTTCAGCCCTTGTCTTTTTTTGTTTAAATAAAAGTTATAAGGAAAAACATACTCTGGCTGCCCAACCTTTGCTCTCTAAGGAAGGACTTCCTCATCCTTTTTTTTGGCATAAACATTTCCATGACACCAGGTTAGTAACCATTCAAGTCTGAAAACTCGTATGTGCTTTTTACTTACATTTGCTTCACACAACAAAGTATTTCGACAATGAACTTCAAACATACATTAAAACATTAATCCTTCAATCCACTCTTGTTTAGTTGCATATGTATTCCCAAGAAGAAAGTTCTGGTTCTCTTTGAACTCAGAAAGAAAACATAGCAAAAGACTTAGCAAATGCACTTACCCCGGCAATGTACTCCTTCATCATACCCATCAGAACAGTCATAAACACCATTGCAGAGCTGGGACAAGTGAATGCATTTGTTTGTACCAATGCAGCTGACATAATTCAGGGTGCACTTGGCATCTGCTTCCTCGGGACCTAAAACACACAGAAAATTACTTGTACATTTTTATTTATTTTTTTTAATCTGCAAAGAAAGTTCTGTACTGCATTTCCATTTTAAAGCTAAGGGCAACACTCCACACATTCGTCCATTTTGCAGATCTTCAGTGCATCATCATTGCTGTATTTAGGAGAATTGAAATAATCAAGAAATAATTAGTGCAATTAAAAGGAAGTCAATGAGTCAGTATTATTCCCCAAAATACAGGTGTTTTACAGATGCTAAAATTAAGCTGTGCAAACATTGGGAGTATCATAAGATTTTCAATTGCTTTGTGAATATCATATCATATTATATCAAGTCACAGGTATTTACATTCACCGTTGTGCTAGATAGAAAATTGTAGATACTTATGAAATTACATATGAACGTTACATATTTATGGCTGTGTTAGATTAGAGAAACTTTTTCCATCCCAGAAGTTTGCCTCTGAAACTGTTCAGTATAGTATGGTAGGCAGAGGATAAGGATGCTGTGATTGCTCCCTTTGGGATACCAACTGGGTTGCAATCCCTCTTTCTCTCCTTATCTCTGAAGTGTTAAGTACAGGGATTTAGGATAAAGTTCAGGGATTTTTGAGGATCTCTTGTCGAGAGTGCTCCGACTGATAAAGAAACCCACAAACAAAATTTTACGTGATAAAAACTCTTGAGATGTCTAATGCACTGAAAAAAACCCATCACAAACAGTCGGAAGGATTTAGTTCATTTACAGGATAAATCATGATTTGTGCATACTGTGTGATTAGCCACTGAGTGTGTAGAGACTGAGTGGAAATTTTTCAGGAAACTTAAAGCTCTTTCGTTGCTTCTGCTGGAGCCTTGGGTCTGTGCTTGGGTCTGACAGCTTGTAACAGCATTAAGGGAAACACACCCTGGGACGCGCTGTGCTCAAGCACAATATGCTTTCACCTTCTTCCAAGCACTAACTCCAAGATGAAGGATAGAAATCACAGGCAGCAGCTGAAAGCTCCATATAGATGGGAAAATCTCAGCTTTGGCAGAACTGGTCTCTTGAAGTCAGCAAGAGAAAGCAAAAGAGAGCTCGGGGGGGAATTTATGATTTCTGTAACCACCCTGATTAGCTCTTAGTATGGCCCATTAAATAAAAATTATAAGTTACAAAACTTGTCCCAATTAGAAAAGTTAAATGAAAAATTCCCAGTGCTGTGCCACATGTCAGGAAACTGTCTACCATTTAGAGAGGGCACATCAAATCCCAGTTTTTAGTGTTTTACAATGTGTTTGCCTGGACTTTTTCACTCAGCTCCATCAGCCCAGGGCAGGTGCTGCTCTGCCGCAAGCAGAGAAGGGGCCGCTAAAGTGCAGCCCCTGCACAGGAAGGCAACACGATGTACAGCAAAGACATAAATTACAGGGTCCTGCTCCCCTCCTCTGACCTTCCCAACCTCATGCCTCCTACCCACAGACTGATGGCAAATCCATCCTTGATGTGTGCCTGATTAACAGACCCTCAGGGTGCTGGATCGAGGGGCAAAGAAGCAGTGTAGATAGGGATGAATGGACTCTGAAATATGCTCCAAGAAGTATTACTCACAATGTTTGGTTTGCAAAAAAAAAAAAAAAGTAAATTGTGCACCACTTGTGAAAACAGAAAGCTGAGGATTAGAAGTGATTAACTCATTCATGTAATTAAGACAAACTCATAAACATTGTTGCCTTACTAGCATGATGCTATGGAAGGCAACTCGACTTAGAAATGAAGGCAAACTTCAGTCTAAAAAAGCCCTGTTTTACAGAAGTCTTTTGCCTTATTTTGTGTGAGCCTTGTGTCTGCAAAATTACTCTAAAGGATAACAGAACTCAACCATTGAACAATGTAAGTGGAACAAGGCAGCATGTCCCATGGCCTTCCTGCCCACAATTCCTGCCACCTATATTGAATTAAAAAACTAAACAGAGCTGCCCTGTGAGATGTCTTTAAAGCAGCACACGCTTCTCCCACTGAATCCTACCCAGCTGCTGCACTTTCTGAAATGTCTGATGCAAATAAAGATGAGTGGCTTTTTATCTTGTTTACTTCTCCTTCCTCTCCCTTGAACAGACAGCCACTTCTGGCAGCGTTATCAAGTGAACTTTGGGAAAAGGAATTTAGAAGTGTTCTTCTTCAAAATAATCTCAGTGTATTTTTACATCAGTGCAAGAATACTAAGAATATAAAAGACGGATGGTGTCTTTTCTTCCCTTCAAAAGACACAATAATTCCTAGCCTTGCCAGTTGGTGGAAAAATAGTCAAAACTACTGGCTGCAATTATGGTAATAAACTATCTCAATGCTTCAAACACTCATATTGGGACACTGCTTGGAGGGCGAGGAGAATGGCAGCAGCACTGCTCCTGCTGTGCAGCTCAAGAGACTTTGGCTAAGGAAACAGAGTATCAACTGTCTCCTTGGTATTACCATATCTTAACAGATGGCTAAGAGACATAGAAGAAAAAGCTGAGCTGCAGAAAGACAAGCCAGGGGCTGGGGGAGATCCACCCATGGTTGTCAGTCAGGGTCAAACCAGAGTGTGGCCAGGGCAGCCTCAGCCTGAGACGTCAGGCATCTCAACAGGGATAAGCCGTGATCTTGGCCCATGGGTGGGGCCAGGATCAGGCCTGATGAGGGTACCAAGGTTAGGCACAGCCCTGGGATGGCCAGGCAGGACCAGGGGGACAGCTCACTGTTTCTTTTCCAAGTCTTCCAGAGCAGGTTGAAGACAGAAGGACCATATTTATTTGCCTACTGCACTGACCAGCACAGCCATTTCAGATGTGGTCACACTGACAAGGCTCACTGCACTTTCACAATGTGGGAGAAAGCATGGAAGAAAACTGCACCATATTTTGGTGATACCTGTGAAGGGTACAGTGAATCTAGCTGATGTCCCTTCAGTGAAAGTGCCAGTGCTCCAGTGGAGGCAGAGAAGAGGTAAGAGAGTCCTTGTGATGTCCTCCAGCAGGAGACAATGGAATTGCTCAAACACAACCTCTGGTTTCCCACAAAAGCAGCATTGTGAGAAAGCACTAAAGGACACAGTCAGAATTACCACAGACATTTTTACTATGCACTCGTGACACAGAATCTCTTGAATATGTACTTAACCTTCCTTTGTGTCCTGTGTTTACTAAGAAGTTAAAAGTGTACATAAAAGTGTGAATAAAAGATACTTGCAAAGATTGTAAAGACATCCAGGCAAAAGGAAACATGCTGGGGTGCCCAGCACAAATTCAAGATACACAAAAATACTGCCATTAAATGGCAGTAAAACACACCCCCTCACTCCTTGTATTTAGAGATGCTCATATTTGAAAACTTGTTAGGAAAAACACATCAAAGCTGACACTTCTGTGTTAATTTTTTCACCTTTGCCTTTCTCAGTTCAGTTTTCACAAAGTAAAACATTGCAGGGAAGAAGTTAGACTTTTAAGTCAGAGACTAGGCAGCCAAATGTGGTGCATCCCTTTCACTTCACTGCAGCCAATCTACTGGAAGACCAGCAATTTTCTGGCAGCTCTAATCCCAGGCTGTCCTCAGCCACAAGAAACAATTATATCGAACCTTCAAAATTACCATTGGTGTTGTATGTCAGTGGCTTCCAGACCCATCCTGCTCTCCTAAATGTCTTTAATGGATTGAACCTTCTCCACAGTGACCAGTTATCCTGAACAAAACCTTATTCTGCTTGTTCAATGGCCTGTGACTTCAACTCACATGCATAGGTGGGAACCCTAGAAAATGTATTTTGTACCTCTCAAGGTACAAAAGCACCAACATGCAGTGGATAGAATCTGACCAAAAGACAAAATCAATAATTTTGATGCAAATAACAGTTTTTAAAAAATGTCTTCTACCATTCTGACTGCAGCACACATACCTCTACTGATGTTTTGGTATAGCAACTACCTAGGTCTTCTCTGTGGTATTACTGAATTTGATTAATGAATGTAATTAAGCCAAAACAGCACAAAGTTTAAGAAAGAATAATCCACACAACTTTTAGGATATCTCTAGATAAAGTAGGGCTGAAATGAAAATACCCCACTAAGGTACAATATAGTATGTGACTTGTCAAACAAACATGAAAGATGGTGAAACCTGTTTCTCCCTGTTAGCTACTTTCTGTAGCATTGGTGGTCTCCCCACACCTGCTGTTGACTCAGAGTGTGGTACAGGATATTGAAGATTGCAGAACTGATTAAAAGACTCAATATATATTCTTTAACATGGCTCTTGCCAACAAGAAACAGCATGCCACATGCAGTCAAATTAAATAAGTATCTGATATAATTTGAAAAGTGTGAGAAGTCACCCTGACAGGTGGCTCTTTAGAGTTATTTTTTGTCCAGTTCATCATCGATTACCTGGGATTTTAAAAGGGCTTATCTTTTATACAACTTGAAGTCACAGCATCTGAAAGCAATGTTTCTAACCCTGCCAAGACAAGATATACTGTACCTTAAAGAGATTTCAGGCTTAAGAGTTAAATTGTGGTCGTTAGAAGAGGTTGTTTTTGTGGGAAAATTAGAGATTAATGAGGAGGAGAGACTATACCTGCATGATTAATTATTTTTTTTTGTTAAATGTTTGAAAAGTTCCAAGGGGCTGAATGCTACATATTAATTTATCTAGTTCCAGGTTAATGTGCAAAGTGTAAACTAAACATATATTGCATCCCATGATACCATAATTGCTTTAAAAAGTAATTTTAGTATCAGGACTTTGAAAACATTGGGATGAATTTGTGCAAATTACTTTAAATATTTCTCCTTTGACATCTTCTATATATGCAAAGATTTTTAATTTAATACAAATGTATATATCAACTGAAGAGGAAAGCAGACAAAGTATTTTACTATTTGCAGCAGAACAATAGCAGTAAACTCTGACCTCACAGACACAGCATATTGTCTCCAAAATAGTATTTCACAAGAAAGAATAAAATCAGGGGAAGCCTATGAGGGAACTGGGG